TTCCCACCAAGTTCAAAGAGAAAAATTCCCAGTCCGGAAAAGAACTGGCAAAAAATGTTTATTTACACAAATATCTTACTTCTTATAATAGCTATTCTCATAATAAAGCTTTTTTTATATACTAAATAAGTCATTTAATCAACTGCTATAATCTTAATATTAGAATATATATCAGAAAATTTGATCTAGAGATATAATACCTATATTTAAAACATTAACAATACTCCCTTGACGACACTTATTACGTGGTCGTTCTCACGGGTGGCACCTGGTACCTATAGGGGTGTAGGGGGCTTGGACTACGTGCCGTGTGCGTCGCGGGCCGTCTGAAAATATGCTAATTGATTTAATTTCAATTTGTGTTATTTGACATAGGTATTTATTTTTCTTAAGTAGGTACTATCTGCTTCTACCAACTTTATTTTATAAACTATAGTGAATATGGTTATAAATTAAAAACATTACTGATTTAATAATCTTAAAATACTTTCTTATAAATAAAAAAATATATTCAGTAAATAAGAAAAAACAAAAAATGTACTAATTATATAAAATATGTTGCAATAAAGATACGTATAAGCTAGTTATTGCAAAATATTACATAATTACATTTATGAAGCCGTGGGAATACTACCCCTATTCTCTTTTGCAAATCGCCCTCCGCCTGCTAAAAGTAAATCCTAGGTGGTACCTACTGAGGGGAAAGATTTCTCACGATTCACACCTGCGTTAGCGCTAGCGCCCTCCGCCTTACGGTTTTATAATAAAAGCAAGACTGGTCAACGTTTACAGTTATTCTTTTAGACGACATTTATTACCGTCAGGGTCGAGGCTAAATGTGATAACAATGATTTTTAAATTATTTTTTTGTTAAATATTATTTCTAATGTTAGTTGTAAGAGCTCTCTTTAGGAGCATTGCTAATTTCGTCAAAAATATTAATTTATTGCATCTTAAGTTACAAACACACAGATGAATAAAATTAAAGTGTCTGTTTGTAATGTCAAAATAACAGCTTTATACTAAATGCATATCAAAGTATAGGTATACGGTACTAATAAGAAAAAAAAATCATTCTTTTGTCTGTCTGTCTGTTTTTTCCGACTAATCTAAGAAACGGCTAGACCGATTTTGATGAGATTTTCACTGGCAGATAGCTGATGTTATAAGAAGTAACTTAGGCTACTTTTATTGAAAAAAATCAAAACGCATGAAATTGTGAACAAAATTATACCTAGGGACGCACCCGAACGAAGCGAGGGTAAGTCGCTAGTTTGTAAGTAAATATCACTGATAGAGTAGTTGAAGTTGAAATATGTATGCAAACGGTAGAAAATTGAGGAAGTTGGTCTAAATTTTGTTTGTTTGTTGGTCTAAATAATGTTTATTTACCTTTAATTTCGTAGATTTGAGAGTTCGAAGAATAAATAATAGAGCTTGTTGGAAAATATATTTACATATAATTACGTATATTCTGCATACAAATAAATAAAATTGAAGTGTTTGTTTGTAATTTTAAAATAAAAGCTTTTTACTAAATGTATATGAAAGTATGTATATATACGATACTTATATAAGAAAAAAATCAAGTTTTAATATTTTTGTCTGGACCGATTTTAACGGGACTTTCACTAGCAGAAAGTTAATGATATAAGCAGTAACTAAGGCTACTTTTATTTTAGAAAAAGTATAAAAATGAGGGTCTTCCGTAAAAAATAAAACCCATGAAATTGTGAACAACATCCGAGCGAAGTGAAAGTAATTCGCGTAATATAGGTAATCAAAGTCAGTGTTTGTTAGTAAAATATGTATTACCTATATATTATTATAGATAGTAAGATACCTACTCTAGTGATTGCTTAACTTTTAATAAAATCAGAAACTCTTGGACTAAAGTACTTATACAACGTTAAAACTTAAAAGCTTTTGTTGTATGTTCATCCCGCGAAGTATACCTATAATGTATTTTGAAAGATTTTTTTTAAAAATCTTTATTTAATAGTTCTTATTACTTTTTAGTACTCATAAAGTCCACCTTCTGTTTATTATAATTTTATTAAAGTAACTGTAATAAAGATAAATAAAGTAAAAACATAAATAATTTGTATTAGTACCTAACTTATAGACTATACTTAGATAATTATTCCTATTGAATATTTACTAGCGACTCATCCTCGCTTCGCTCGGGTTCGTCCCTAGCTTGCTTCCTAATACAAACTTTCATCCTCATTTATATAAAAAAGTATCCTATGTCCTTCCCAGGGTCTCAAACTATTGTCTTACCAAATTTCATCTAAATCGGTTCAGTAGATCCAGAGATTACCCCTTACAACCTCACAAACGCACAAACTTTACCTCTTTATATATTTTTTTGTATATTAGTATAGATAGATAAATATAATTATCGTACATTTTGACAAAACTGTCAATTTCTTTATTAAATATTGTATTCTTCGATCAAGATCGAAGATGGTTGTCATGATGAAGAAATTGAATAACTGAACGTCAATTTGTCTACTCGCTGTTTTATTTTTTAACCCAAATTGTTAACTTTTCCGTACAGTTTTTCAAATAGGTATTTCTTTCACCCAAACCTCGTCCTGTCAATAATACAAACACAACAAAAAAGGATTAGCCAAATAGGTGCAGCCGTGCTGAAATAGTGCGCTTATTTACATTTGGCAATTGATTTTTATTTATAAAGAAGATATACATTTAAAATTCAAATAAAAGTTTAAATGTAACGGTACCTATCAAAGCAATATTTTACGTCACTAAATGCGATACATGGTCAAATGAATGACTTGTGGGAAAAATGAGCAATAGGTAAACATTGGATGGCCTATAATAAGCTTATCGATAAACTTGATTTTATACAATCGAAAAGTTGTACTTGATATCAAAATAATATTAAATGATTGCAAAATTTAAACAATTTCAAAAAAAAAATCAAGGGGCTACCGAATACTATATTGATAATATAGTAGGTATACAAAATATATAATAAGATAGCTATAATTTTTTACTCTAACATATGAGTATTTGTAATAAAATAATAATAAATATTAAACAATAGTTGTATAAATCGAAGCACCTTGTCCTGAAAGAAACGGGATCGCTCCCACGATCCGTTATTCTATTTTCTTTACAATCTCCTTCCCCGTGCGTCTCCTGCGTGGGGTTGAGCGGCGGGGGTTCAAGGGTGAGCATAAATTCTCACGTGGAAATCTTACTATTATTGTTGTGCAAACTGCAAATTATTATTACCGTTCGTTTAGTAACATCTGCTTGCGTGACATTTCTTTAGATATAAATGAAAATTATATTTCATTAATAAACGTACCTCCCATAAGTAGTATCTGTCTATATGTTAATTTAAATGGATATATTATTTAATAAAACGGACTTTTATTGCTATTTAACTAAATTGCTAAGTATGATCCCGGTTGTATACAGGAACTAGCGAAACAGAAATTTCAAATAGAGAAGTTTACTGTACTACCTGCGTAACCAACTACGAATAAATAACTTATTATTTATTCGTAGGTAACCAATTCTACAGTAAACCTACTAATTTTGAAGTGATTAAACAGTCAGATACAAGAAGTATAAATTGAAAAACATTATTTGCAAAAGTCTTACAAAATTGTTCCAAAACTTTTCTGCGTAAAAATTTATTATATATGCATAATATAGGTAATTACTAAATACTAATACCTAAATACACACAACTTACCAATGAATCTTGTAGAATAAGAAATTTGCAATGTCTATTATTGCGACAACTCCAGTTCGCTCTTGCCAGACAATTATTTTCGTCTACAATTCGGAGCTCCTTCGTTTTCTTATTATCCTTCTACGTATATACATGGACCAAACAAGTACATTCAGAATGCTAAATATTTTATTAATTACTACCGACTCACGCTCGCTTCGCTCGGGTTCGTCCTATAGGTACGTTTTAACGGTTAGTATAGAATAAACTATATATATGTACAATGTACATACCTACGTATATATACGTATAGAAAGTATCTTATGGTATGGTATGATATGGTATGTTCGGGCTATTTTCCGCAACTCGACGACTATGCGCCTATTTTGCGTGCGTAGAAAGTAGTAATATTTAAAAAAATTAAAAATGTTGAAATGATTGATTCCTCATTCAAACTTTCACCCCCTTTACATCCGATTAAAATATGTTTTCCTGGATAAAACTATCCTATGTCCTTCCCAGGGTCTCGAAATATCTCCATACCAAATTTCATCTAAATCGCTTCAGCGGATAAAGCGTGAAAAGATGACAGACAGACAGAGTTCCTTTCGCATTTAATATTATTATGGATATACAATATAAATATAAATAATCTGCACGTCTAAAAGAACCTAGCAAGTTTTCGAAAGACATGTGAAGTCTGCTAACCCGCAATTGGCCAGCGTGGTGAACTATGGCCTGATCTCCCCTCGTATAGAAGGGAGACCCGTACTCAGCAGTGGGACGTTAAAATGGGCTGAATACATACATAAATATAAACCTACTTTTTTTAGTTATGTTTTTTTAGTTGGATATTATAGCCTGGAGAAAGGCCCATGACGTAACCTGTATGTAAGAAGTCGAGCGATGCACACGGGGATTAAGTTTTACTCCTAACAAAAATCGAATCGCTCAACGCGACTAAAGAAGTTTTTACTTCAAAAATATTTCACATAAAAAACTTTCTTTCTATTTTTAACAAATATAATAAATAAATATATCATAATTATACCAAACTTTATTACTTATTAATAAATTATGTGAACACAAATAACAATACCAGAAATAAGTAAAAAGTAAAATATGTAATCTGTGGTTTTGAATTTTGAACTTAAGTTTTAAGTCAATGTTGTCAACGTCAAAAATCCACAGTCATCAAAACGGAAGGTATTGATTTTTATGAAATTGTAAACTTAGCACTACCGTAACACTATCTCAATTGTTAATATTATAATAACAAGTTATAATGTCCGCTAAACTCCATGAAGCTCAAGAACATTGCAAGACTGCAGAAAAATTGTAAGTAAGGATTTACTTGCTTTATTTTTTAATGTAGAATGGAATAAATAATGTAAATTTAACATTTTCGTCGCTGACTTCACGCTGCAATCTATTTTATTGTGTGTATACTGTATGTAAAGACGAATAATCTTTATTGTTTGCCAATAAAATGATACATAGGTGTTAAAAAATGCTAACTTTAACAATTTTATACATTTGGATCTTATAAATGTTATGAGTTAAGACATGCCTATAAAAATGTATATGTATATAAAATATTATAAAATGTATATAAAAATATAAGGTCTGTTGGTAATATTATACATTCCTATATCATTTAACTATACATTACCTATGTACACATACATCAATTTTGATAAAATTTTGGTAAATTTTTGTATATGCACACCCTTTAAATCCTTCTGAAATAATACCGTCAACAAGTAATTAATCTTTGTGCTAGTAGCTAGTAGAAAGTAATACAAGTATAATATGCTTACTCTGTTGTGTGTCCTGTGTATGTATATATCTGAATCACTTAACATCCTGTGAAGCCATGGTGGGTTGTATCGTATTTTAATAGAAGAACATGATTATGTCAACATTCAGAACAAATTTGAAAAAATATAAGAATAAGTTATTTGCTATTGTGATTTACTATCATTGTTAACCAGTATTTTCCCAAATTCTTATATTTATTTATTTGTGTAATTGCTCTGCCCATAACCTACCTCAATAAATAAGCTATAAAATAGAAAATACAAAAAAAAAATTAAAACAATACTTGTATAGACTATCAAACTGTATTAGTAAAAATCAGAAAGAATAAATATTGTAAAATTGCAGAAAATAAGAAAATGGACCAGTTACCTATAAAGCTTTATTTTAAAAAAAATATGTAAATCATGGTATGGAATGGTATATTCAGCCTTGTTTCCGCAACTCGATGTCTGTGCTATGTAAATCACCTAATTTTATTAATAAAAAAGGTTATAATTAATCATATTGATGATAATTTTATTATTATACAATATTTTCATAGAATATTATTCTGTATATGTACTTGTTTCTTATATATGTCGCATGTAAAGTGTAAAAACCGTGAAATTATAAATCGTCTCATTTTCTAATAATATCAGAGGACAATTTTAGGTATATTATAATAATTTCACCAATGAAATTATAATTTAACAGTTTTTTATATTTCTCTGTGACATATATATTTCATATGTGAATATAATCACTCAGTTGTTGAATGCTCAAAAATAAAAACCAAATTTAGATCATTTTAAATGATAATGTAAACTTTAATAAATTATTAAATGGGGTAAAAAGGGGAAAAAATATTTTGCAATTTCTAAAATCTAATGATGCTGTTTTATTTGTTTAGTTTGAAGACATCTTTGCTGAAATGGAAACCAGACTTTGATTCTGCTGCTGATGAGTATAATCAAGCAGGTTAGAATAAATTATATCTTATCTTTAAAGAGGTTTGCTCTTTACATATTTATTTCAATATTTCTAATTTTTAGATTTTTTTGTACTTCTATTTAATTTTGTATCTATGTGGCACTGATTTCTTTGTCTTTTAGCTCAGTGCTATAGGATTGCACGTGATGTTAAGAGTTCAAAAGAGTGCTATTTAAAAGCATCTGAGTTTTACAAGAAGAACAGAGCATTCTTCCATGCTGCTAAAGCTATTGAGAATGCTATAATAGTTAGCAAAGAAGTGGCAACTACAGATGAGGTATGTATAAAGATAATTTGATATAATTTTCTAATGATGTATCTTGACCACTACTTATATCATATTAATATAAATTGATGTAAAAATTGTGTGCACTTGAAACATTTTTTGTTTATTATAGTACTAATATTTATGGTACATGAATATTCTCATTTTACTCATCATAACTTTTGTTTTAGTTATATCAAATGGGCTTGGAGTCCAGCAGTCTGTATCAGCAACATGGTTCCGGTGATTCTGGAGCCAATATTTTGGATAAGGCGGCTAAAATTATTGAAGGTAGAGCACCAGAATTGGCAGTAAAATTGTTCCAGCAAGCTGCTGATGTGTCATCGGTAATTATTCTAAACAATTTATCTGTATATATTTTTAACAAATAAGTAAAATTATAATTATTAATATTTATTGCAGACTGCAAGTAGCCAACATCAAGGGTCTGAGTATATCAGCAAATCTTCGAGAATACTTGTTAAACTTCAGAGGTAATAAATTATCTTTAATTTTAGCCTTTGGTTGTATATTCACTGATTGTTTCAACAACACTATGGATGGCTGCATTTTTAGTGTTCACAAATTAGTTTTTTTTCGGCATAGAATACCTGTATGTTACCTAGAGTAACTATTAATAAAATTATTTTTATAATTTGACAATTAGATATGACAAAGCTGTGGACAGTCTGCGCCGCGAGATCGGTTTCCATCAAGAAGCCGGTAACATGAGTGCTATAGGCAGATTAACTGTTGCTATAGTATTGGTTCAATTGGCCAGAGGTGATGCAGTTGCTGCTGAAAAAGCATACAAAGTAAGTTGAAATAATAATATATTAAATACCCATTAAGTAAACAGAGGAGCATATAACCCACTTTTTTAAAGTGTCAGTTAAAAATAAGAGGACTAAGAAAAATTAAAAAATGAATATAATAATAATTAATATGACAGGAGTGGGGAAATAACTGCGAAGTGCCAGAGATGCAGACCCTTGAGCAGTTGTTGCAAGCATATGATGAAGAGGACCGTGAGTCAGCTAAGAAGGCATTGTCATCGCCTTTCATACGTAGTATGGATGTAGAGTATGCGAGGCTCGCCGGGACCATCCCCTTACCAGAGGGTATAGAGCCTGCCCCTAAAGCCAGTGTGAGGGAGAATGCAGCTCCCTCATATGTTAGTGCCAACGCCACTTATATGGTAAGTTGATGTTAATTTCGAATGTTACATTTTTGTTTTCAGATATACCAATTAATGGAGTACATTAATATAAAAAGTTGCCATGCAATCAATCAATTGAAGCAGCTGTTTAATTTCTCAAGCTATTGTCAATATTTAATTTCTATAGATATAGAAAATAACTTAAGATTTGTTTACAAATATATCTTGTTTGGCCTATGGCAAAAATCATTATTTACGAATTCCTATTAAGAAATAAAATTAGTGGAAAAAGTGAAGAACTGGCTTAATTGAGTTGTATATATGTATAATATCAACAATTTTACAGCAAGAAGATAATGGTGGAATGCAGTTCCAAAGCAGTGGTAATTCTGCAAACGACATCGAAGAAAAGAAAGAAGAAAAAGAAGAAGACGACTTGTGCTAAATTCAGCAAAAAAATATAATATATGATCAATTACATATATTAACACGCTTCATTCCAAGCTACGATTTTTTTCGATTATCACTAGACAGAATTGGGCATTGACTACTGTTGTATGATATGAATGGAAATAATAAATATATTTACATATACATAAATAATTTTGCATTTGTAGTTTATATTTTAGATAAAATGAAACTTGCAATAATATGGATTACTTGCGAGACTGCTGTTGTTGCTATAGATGTTAGATAAGCAAAGATATATTTGTGAATGTTACATTTATTTTAAGTGTTAATTGATTTATTTGTATATGTTTATTGTATATATTGATATATGTTTAAATTGAAGTTAGATGTAATCTTAAGTTCCTATCGACAATTGTTATTGCATGGCATAATTGTGCACAATTATGCAGTGGCTTCAAGTTTATATGTAATGAATGATTAATAGTTTTAAATGTTATATGCATAAAAGACATGTTATGTACATTTCTATATATAATGTTGGACAAGTTATAGGGATATTTATTATATTTATTATTTAAAATCTAAGTATTCTATTTGTCTCTATTTATATTTTAATTTAGGAATGGTTAAATTTCGATTAAGAAATTGTATTAAATAAGCTTGTTTATTTGATATTTCAATATATCATGTTTGTTTATACTTACTTTAGGTGTTCTTTAAAATTCTTTCATAGATGGACAGAAAAATTGTTATATATTATATATAGAACTGAAAATAATCATATATTAATTTATACCCGTACCAGCCATGCCATCTTCTATTACATGGTTAATAGGAAATAAAAAATTATAAAATAGCACTTCCTTTTATATACAGATGTTTTGTCTTACATAGATTTATCAAGATAATGATAATGGTATATTTTGGTAAGCTGGCATTTTAATGAAAATATACTTTAATGCATGGTAGGATTATATGTATGTATTGATACCTAACTGCACTTATTTTTACTTTAATGTACTATAACCATTTTCGTGCTAATTTTGTATATTATTTAGTTCAAGATTGTTTTACATCATGAAAGTATTTTTTTCTAAAGTATTTGTTACAATATCTTTTATTTTATAGTGTTTGGAAAGTTATATAATATAACATTGTTGTATGTATTAAGTGTAAATTTGTAGCACATCTATTCTATAGTTTGTAATTTTTAATCTTATATTTGGATATAAATGTAGAGGTTTGGCATTACAGATCTAGTTCGTCAATCATATTAGTAATTTAAAATGAAAAATAATATTTGTTAGTCAATTTAGTACTTTATAGCTGCTTCTGTATTAATAATAAAATAAACATGAAAATAATAAAAGGTTTTAATTCACATCTAGTTATTTTAATTATACAATTTTTCTTTTACTAGTATGACATAGTGACATTTAGTGCAATTCCAAGCACATCCTTAAAAATAAATAAGATATTATTATTATATATGTGTGGTACCAGTGACTAACATGTGACACAATAAAAAAAATAGAATATAGTTCTTTATACAAAAGTTGTATATTTCTGTTTAATTTTAGACGTCCTTAAAATCAATGCATAAAAAAGATTTTTTAAGGTTTGAGAAAATTGAGACATCTAATATTTTTTGGTAAAAACAGTAATTTGTATCTTTTAATTCAAAAACAATAATGCCTCTATGTTATATATATTTTCAAATAATTACTAGGGATCTGTACAATACTTTACATATATAACATAAATAAAAAATAATAATTTTATAGATCTAAAATATGGTATTTGCATGTCCATCTTAATATTATAAATCCATATTAATACTATAAATGTGAAAGTTTGTGACTATGGATGTTTGTTACTCTTTCACGCCAGAATGGCTGAACAAATCTGGATGAAATTTGGCACAGAGATAGATTATAATCTGGAATAACAGATAAGGTACTTTTTATACCGGAAAATGTGCGGTTCCCGTGGGATACGTTTGTTTTTGTTTTAGAGGTGAACCCGAGTGAATCCAGGCTGAGCCGCTAGTACAAATTACATTCAAGATTAAAAAACATATTACCAACCATAAAAAAATAAAGTAAAAGATATAACAAAAGAGAGCTAAGTGAATTTTAAGCAAGCATAATTATTTGATTCTTTAACCAAGAGCTGTATAGAAAAAGAGTAAATTTTAGCCCAGATCATAATATAATATTTACAAAGCACACACATGCTTAAGCTATCATAATTAATGAAGGTGTCACCTGTGAAATGGCACACCATTTACTAATCACATAAGTAAGCCAGGTAACTTAGCCAGTAAAATAACTAAATCTAGTGGACCACCGTGGATCCACACACAAGACACCATGTCGCTACATAGTCTACACAAGAGTAGCCTGCTGGCATAATGATTTATTTAATAAATGCAGCAACCAAACTTGCTCTAGTTGTTTGTGGTTCATTATAAACATGCTAAAATTAACACAATAATTAATATGAAATTGTTATTTAAATGTTAGAAAATTTAATAATATAGTAACCATAACATATCTTGAATTTTATATCACTTGATATTTTGTTTCTTATGCTTGGGTAAGGCTTCTTTGCAAAATATGAATTTATAAGACGAATTGTGTATAAATACTGTATATTTATTATAAGTTTTACTACCAATGTGAGTGAAGATTATTTGACAGAATTATACAAAATTAATTAATAAAAAAGTTTATTAATTTGTTGTCTAGTGAATATAAAAATAAAAAAGGATATCACTAGACTTTTTGTCAAATATTATTCAATCAAAAATATAAAAATGTCTTTCTCTAATTCTACAAAAAAGTATAGTACAATAAGAATTACAATCTTTAAGTTAAACATAATATATTACAACTTACTTAATAGTGATTAACACTTCAGTCCTACAATAATTATTAATGGAACAGTTAAAGAAAAATTAAGGCTGAGTATTTTTATGGCTAAACATAGATATATATGGAGGTACCATAGCCGGTACTGATGAAGTTGATTCTGGAGGTTGATCTTTTTCTTTATTATTTTTTGTTTTTCTAAATTGAAATCCATTTTTGTGCAGTATTTTACGCAGTGTTTCTCTTGAACCTTTAAAGTTGATTTCTTCTTTAAGTATTTGCAATAGTTTATTTATTGTTGGTACTTCTTTTTTGAAGGCATAAAATTCATGTATTTTTCTTCGAATAACTTGTAGATCATACTCATCAACTTCTATTCTTCCTTTTGTTCGAACCCTTTTTTTAGGTGCCTTCTTAAGTGTTTCTGGGTCCAATAAACCTTGTTCAACAAGCCTCGCTTCCTTAACTATATTTAGAACAGTACGTTCTGATACGCCTGTAAACAACATAAAGCAAATCATTGAATTTATTGCAGTTTTTTATTAAATGAAACCAACACTAAAATACCAACCTGTGGCGGCAGATACGCGTACATACACTTTACTTAGCGGTATTATTGGCACTTGCATGCGTTTTTCTTCATCCATAAACTCCTTAACTTTTAAAATTATCTCTCGAACCTCACTTGTTATGTTTTTCGGCATATTGTACACTTGTTGTTAAAAATATTTTAAACAAACAATACAAATGGCCGACTTGTTTGACTGTAGAGCAGATCAAATTCAAAACGTCAATTTTACTTTTTGTAGGCAATGGAATACAATTTATGCAGCCTAATGCCAGATCCACACGCTTGCCAAGTCTCTACCTTGTTCATTGTTGTTATTAATAAAATTTATTTTTAAAATAAATAAATTTAAAAAATAATAATATATTGTACGCTTTTATGAATCTTAAACATTCACTATTACCTTGGTTGAGTTCTCCATTTATTTTCATTTTATTTAGCTTCACTTTGTTTCTTTTTATAATAGAAACAAGATAAGCCAAAATTAATAGCGGAAACAAGCTCGACGTCCGTCACGCTTAGTGCAAACACGTGTTGTGTATATAGAAATTAGAAATACCATAAGTCCATAACCAGAATAAATATCTTGAATATAAACATCACTTCACACTCTACTAAAGGGAGAATTAACGACTAACTTCGTACTGTAATCTAAATCTGTGGCATCTTAAAAAAAATACTTTCATTATTTTTTTCATAACGCACCAAAAGAAGTATATCTTCAAACAAATTATTTTTTTAATTAAACCTTGATCAATTGTATTTAATATCATTATTTTATTATTTTATCGTCCGTTTCCTAGTTTCCATAGATGTATGTATAGTATTGGCACGCAGGATAAATTTATTGAAAATCAAATCAAATCAAATTATTCTATAATCAAATATACTTTTACAAGCACTTATGAATCGTCAATTTTTACATTTTTAAAATTAAAAATCAGTATGTAAGTGTGTGAGGAATTTACTACCGGCTGGGAAGGCCGCTTTCTGGAGGTTGAAGTTATTTTTTTGCTATGCCAAAGAAGTATAACATCTTTCTTCTGCGTACGTACGTATGTACGCACATTTCTATAATTATTAATTTAACATATAATTTTGTTTATAGTGTATCATTTTTGGGGCTCCGTAGTTAGAAGGCTAAATGGAATTCTTATAAGTTATAGTTTCGTCATGTCCATCTCTCGGTCTGTCCGTATGTCACAGGCCACAGGTATTTTACGTGATCGTGAAGACAAGAGCATTGAAATTACATTGAGGGTGGAATTTTTTCTTGAAAAGTGTGCGTAAGCGTGTGGTACCTATATCTCTGTATAGGTCTATAAAATTCAGATAGATTAGGCGTTTTGCTGATAATACATACACATTGTACCTACATGACCAGTGTCCAAGGTACATAGTTAGTTGGGGGACCAAGGTACAACATTGCAACAATATATTTTAACGTATTCATTATCTAAGTAAATTTAGGTAAATATTATTTACTATTGACTATTTATCCATACTTCCATACTTAATATTATAAATGTGAAAGTGTGTTTGTTTATTTGTTTGTTTGTTTGTTTGTTTGTTTGTTTGTTTGTTTGTTTGTTTGTTTAAATATAATATTTGTTTTTTTGGTAATCAAGGCTTATCACTGGACTGAATATATTTTTAGGAATATCTGGGACTCATTATTAATATACCCTGTCGTGTTGGACATGGCAATATTCTACACCAGCCCATCTAGTTTCTATGGCTGTATTGATTGGTCGTATTACTTTATTGGGGTTATACTCGAATTTATTATAGATACTAATATATATTGACATTAACTTTATAACGGTATACGTAAAACATGAAACAAGAAAAATTATTTTGAACTCAAAAAAATATTAGTATACCTACATTATGCTTCAAGCAATTTATTTGCCCATGTTCTATCATCATTGCCTTTACTATCTATAATGTTTATAAGGTATGGTAAGGGTAGGTATAAGCTGCAGTATATGTAAGGCATACATAACTTAAAATAATTAGCGTATGTCGCGTATTTAAAAATCATTTTTAGGTATCTTTCATCATTTTTCATTTTAAGTAACAGTTTAGGATATATATTATGATTTAAAGTTCGTTAACAACCATTCTCGCTAATTTTCCTACTTAAAAAGCTGTAAATAAATAAATAAATATATTATAAAAATAACAAAAATATATTATCAAAAATTTAAATAAATAAATATATGAAATACGTCATACACGTTTTAATCTTGCCGCAAGATGTACGTACATTATGTATATGACCGCATAATATGTCCGCATAATATGTACTAGATTCCTTCGTGAATTGATTGTCATCTTTTTAGTTTGCTTTTATGCAGTCGGGTTTATTATTTTTATAATATATTTATTTATTCGAATTCATGTTTATTTCTATAGAGTTAGCGAGAGCTTTCAAATCTTTTTTGTTATTCAGTTTTAGTCTAAGCCTGTGTATTTTTTGGATAAAATGGTCTCATTGTTCTCTTATCTAGTGGTAATGTTATTTTACATGTGGAGTCTTGTGAAGTCCTATATGTATGTATATTGGCGTAGTTAATTTCCCTAAGCATAGCACGATAGCTACTGTCAATAGAACAATGAATCTACTGAGGTGGCGACAATTTCCAAATAGATTCGCTATGAAAACATTCAAATATTATGATTTTAATATGACAAAATTACCGTAATAGATGCTAGAATATATTTATATAGTTAGTAGGTACATCTAACTATTTTGTTTATTTGTCTATATAAATATACCACAAAATAAGCTTATACGCAAGATTAATAATTTTAAATTTTAGGCTCAGTTCAAGGTGACGGTTTAATTGTAATTCATGTAAGGATATTAGGCGTTTACTCTATTTCGAATGAAGAGAAAGGACATATTATAGACGGCGTCTACTTTTGTAAACTTTCGCTGGTGACTGATAAGGAAATTAGGATGTCTTCTGTTGTCGCATTAACACCATTCAAGGTTAGATATTCAAAGCCTAATGGCTATCAAAATAAAATCTTAATTTTCAACAATTACATTCAAACCAAGAATGAATTCCTATAATTTTCCGTATTTGTTACATTTTTGTCTGTTTTAATTTTGTTATAAGAAAAGAAAATTATTAGAAGATTTCAGGTAGGTACTTTTTCTAAAGAAATTTGCCTATAGAAAATTAATGAGAGAGTATCCTCAACTTTTTTTTTAATATACAGCAGCAGCTAACATCAAAGGATAAATCAAAAAGTAGAATGTCAGAGATCTGAACAGAAATGTATGTAGATCATTTTTATTGGGACCAAAAATATTAAAAATAAGAATATAAGGAGTATGTAAAATAAAGTATAATTCACATAAATTATGATTATCTACTTGTAATATTCAAAATCTAAGGTTTTAGTTAATAAAATGAATAAATGAGGTGAAATATTTAAAAATAATTATATCTTCTTTAGCACTATTCGACTGTAGGTGTAGGTAGATACGTGACAAAAATTCCCAATTTCTACGATGGTTTGCTCAATCCTGTAAAAAGCAGGCCAATAAAGTGACAACAAAGTTATTTTATGAGCGAGGTGTAGATTCCGCGATCGTGCGCGCCAAGTCAGCCACGTGGGGAATGCGAAACAGTTTTTTTCTTTAATTTAATTAATATTCTCAGTAGTGTTGCATTACGACAATATGGAGAAATGTCAAGTGTGCAACACTCATTCTACAATTATAGGGAAAAGGTAGGTACAAAAATAATATATTTCATATTAAAAATGATATTTTTTTATGAGTTTTTATAGCTTCAATAATATAAAAATTGATTTATTTGTTGAAAATACGTTTTTTTGTTAAACCGTATGAAAATTAATTACTAAGACTGAAGTTAATGTATAATTTTACTTAATATATAATTTGTTTAACGGTTAGTATGGAATAGATAGACTTAAGACTATATAATATTACATATATGTATATAGTTATATACATAGATGAGTTGTCGTAGGTTTTATTACCTATAACAATGTTTTATGTTTTTCCGTGGGAATGAGATAATCTCCCGCGATAAAAGCAGCCTATGTCACTCAAGCCCTCCAATTATTTTCACACAAAGAATCACCACAAAGAATCACCACAAACAAACAAACACACTTGCTTCTCAATAGAAGCTTTCATTCCTATTTTCACCCCCTTAAGGGATGATTTTGCGGGATAAAAAGTCTAATGTCCATCACAGGGCCTCAAACTATCTTCTTACTTTTCATCTAAATCGGTTCAGTAGATCCATAGATTACCACGTACAACCTGATAGATTCACAAACTTTACCTCTTTATAATATTAGTATAGATTAAGCCCTTTTTAAAGTCCCACTGATGGACACAAGCCTCTCTTCAATGCGAAGAGGGGTCAGACTATAACCACGCTGGTCAAGTGCGGGTTAGCGACTACACATATTAGGTACCTACTCTCAGATATGCAGGTTTTCTCACGACATTTCTTTTACCATAAGAAAAGTGTTGAAAATGAATCGCCCATGAAAATAACAGAGGAACGAGACTGTGGATATATTATACCTAATAAATAAATAAAAAAGTACATACTTCAGGGACGTAACTCATAATAAGATTTACTAAGGCAATTATTAATAAATTGTACAATAAATCATTGATGTTAGCAATGTTTAGTGCCCTTCCTTGAACTTGCATAATGCATGACCAGTGCGCGTCTTCACACAACGTACACACTATCTATTCACAATCGGTGAATTTTAAACTACATCTGTTACTTAGTAGCCATTGTAAAGTTTCTATTTGATTGTCATAATACTTTTGTATACGAAATCGAAAATAATTGCAAAAGAATTTGTTAACCTATATTATATATTTTATCGGAAGTCATCTCCATAGGGAGAGTGGGGAAACGGTGTCAGGGCATAGCTCTCTGATCGTAGTGTAGCTGAGTAGGAACGGTGGGTGAATGATGAATCCACTAGGACTCGTTGTGGAGCCGGACAGGAAAGATCCGTGTCCTGTGCGGGCTGTCAGCCCAGACGGGTGAGACCCTCAGTTGCCCTGAGGGAGGCCCAGCTAAGCAACCAGCGACCAGCGACAGCGGCTCTCACCCTGTTGGA